ACTCAAAAATTCTCACGCACAGTGCGCACAGTGCGCAGCGCACTGTGCGTCACACACTGTGCGTGGCACATCTCTAACAAGGACACCAAGTTCTTCGCTCATAACATACATCTTCAACATATTGTCTACAACATATTCAATTAGATTAATTTTTAAGAGGAAAATCCTGACTATACATACTAGTAACATTTACAGTGAATATGTTCAGATATTTGCTTAGTGTCGATTTATTCAAAGATATTTTAAGCCCTGATCAATCAAGTCCTTGGAGAGTCTTGCTAACTTCCTATAATCTCGTTGCTGTTTTGATTTGTCAGAAATGGGACAACCAGTTTCACTATATAGCATTTCGATTCTTGTATCTCCTATCTGGGTAACAAGAGTATAATCTGGTTTTTCAGCGAATTTTAAATCACCTTTTCATTCAGCACTGATTAAACTTTGTTTATCCCTGACATAAGAAACCATTTTTGATTTTGGACAAATCAAAAACAGGTAAGATGAAATTCATCATGAGTACCATTCACTCCAGACTACGCATTCTACAGGTAATCCACTCATAGCTATAGTGAATAATGGCGTTAATACTTCACACATATAGGAGGTTTCGTTGATGGTGGATAGATCTTTGGATAGATTATATTTAGGTGCTACCAATATTCTTTGTCTAATAGTCTCTCTGACTTATATGTTAATACGATCACTTAACAAAAAATATTTTTGTTACAGGAGATATCAAACTTGCATTGCATCAAAGAACTGTGTAAATAACGCACCCAATTTTTCTGGTGAATCTAACCATACTCCAGCATTCATATGGTTGATTTCTCTGAACAAATTTTTTGCAGTTACATACAAGTTCTTGACCCACATCCAGTGAATATTGTTTACCTATTCCACAGATGCCTTAACATTTATTAAATTATATTGGTAGTTTTCGTGCTGTAAGTATTTTCCATTTTAATATTTGAATAAAAGCATCATACACAAATAATGACCTACTTGTTTTATCTTATTTTAAATAGTCAAATACTTTCGATACAAATGATTGATTGCAGTTAATACAGGTAATCAAGTAGTAGTCTTCTTACATTTTACCTGAATTGAGATATAGTAATATAATAATATATATGGATGAAAGTTGTATCAAACAAATTTATTAACTTGGTAATATTTTCAAATTTGCTTGTTGAACAAAAATGAATTCGCATAACAGACTCTTTTCAAGGATGGCTATTAATAAAATGGAAATGATGTCAGTTAACTTTGGTTTTTTGGGGGTAAATATTTTTAAAGATACTATCACTATTTTTTTTCATCCATCGATTAATATTTTTTATATATATTTAGAAATGTATTTATTTATTAGTGGTTGTTTTATCAAATATTTATCATCAATAACATTAGCAGGGTCTGATGGAGATGTTATTAATATGTAATATATACAAGTTAAAATTAAAAGAGAGAATTTTGTTTATTTAGAAATGATTCTTGATTATTACTTGAACAATGTTTTTATATATACATACATATATATATATATATAATGTATAAATGCTTTAACACTTTAATTCTATCAACTTCGCCTAAATAATTGATAAAAACGTTCATCAAGTATGATGGTTTATATATACATACATATATATATAATGTATAAATGCTTTAACACTTTAATTGCATCAACTCCGCCTGAATAATTGATAAAAACATTCATCAAGTATAATGATTTATATATACATACATATATATGTAATGTATAAATGATTTAACACTTTAATTCCATCAACTCCGCCTGAATAATTGATAAAAACGTTCATCAAGTATAATGATTTATATATATATATATAATGTATAAATGGTTTAACACTTTAATTCCATCAACTCCGCCTAAATAATTGATAAAAATGTTCATCAAGTATAATGATTTAGAATTATTTATATTTAATATTAATAATCGAGGTTTATTATACTTGCTTTATTCATTCTTTTCATGCTATAGTGAAATCTAATTTCATATCTGTTTTTTATTTACTGCAGTTAATTTTTATCATAAATTATATACAAG